TACCTGGAATCTGAACTATAGCTCCTTGTTCTGGGGCTTGAAGGCATGGAGAGTACGAAACAGGACATTGATGACCTGTGGAGGACTGGTAAAGGTTTTCAACCACATGTGGTCAATTTTTATGATTCAAATGCTGGTGTGAGCAATTTCTTTGTTGCTGATGACAAAATACACTAATTAGACTATTTCCCAGTGTACTTCAATAAGGAACTGAACAACACATCCTGAAGGAAATGAACAAGTGGGCTGCAACTGCAATTGATTCTGAGTAGTTACCTCAACAATCATGTGTGTATAGATGGAAGGCAATGTATACAAAAATCGGGAGGGAGATAAACACGGAAAAAAGACTCGCTATCACTTCAAGACAATCTAAATAGGGTTTTGAAATGGTCAAAAGATTGGCAGATGCAATTTAATGCTGACAAATGTAAGGTTTTGAGGTTAGGTTATCTTGAGTTATCTTGAGATGATTTCGGGGCTTTAGTGTCCCCGCGGCCCGGTCCTCGACCAGGCCTCCACCCCCAGGAAGCAGCCCATGACAGCTAACACCCAGGTACCTATTTACTGCTAGGTAACAGGGGCATTCAGGGTGAAAGAAACTTTGCCCATTTGTTTCTGCCTCGTGCGGGAATCGAACCCGCGCCACAGAATTACGAGTCCTGCGCGCTATCCACCAGGCTACGAGGCCCCTCTAGGTAATGATAGAGCTACAAGGTACGAGCTAGATGGTGTGGAGATTGCGAAGTTGAATTGCGAAAGGGATCTGGGAGTTATGATTAGTAAGAATTTAAAACGAAAAAAAAGTATAATAAGGCAAATAGGACAATGAGATTTATTTATCAAAGTGTTAGTAATAAAATACCTGGTGTTATTCTTCAGCTATATCTTGTTCTGGTTAGGCCCCATTTGGATTATGCAGTTCAGTTTTAGTCGCCATACTATAGACCGGATATAAATTAACTAGAACGTGTCCAGCATAGGATGACAAAGTTAATCCAGCAAATTAGAAAATTGCCCTATGAAGGAAGAATGACAAAGCTTAATTTATATTTTCTAGAAAGGAGATGAATTGGGGGTGACATGATAAGAGGTGTATAAGTGGATGAATGGGAATAACAAAGGGGATATTAATAGGGTACAGAATTAAAAGTATCAACATAAAACAATGGGTATAAAGTTTAGATTTAGGAAAGACTTGGGTAAATTCTGGTTTGGTAACAGGATTGTCGATCTGTGGAACCAATTACCACGTAACATAATAGAAGTAGGATCCCTTGAATGTTTCAAGTGTAGGTGTTACGACCCTGGGTTCTTATTTGGAAACCAGAGGTCAAATTGAGTTCTAAATAATTACTATACATTAATTGATAGGATTGGATCATGTGAGGATATTTAATTAACAATAACATTTACATTCATGGTGCCTGAAATCCTGAGTGCGGCTTTGTTTCCATCTTACTAGCCAGATGTAAGAAGAATCTTGTTACTCACAGATCAATCAGAATCTGGGCTTGTTGAATATTAAATATAATATTGACCTAGTTATCAGCTATTCTTAGAATTGTTAAAGTAAGTAGTAATGAAGGTCGGGGAAGACTTGTAATGATTGTGGCTGTACGATCAGTTAGGTATCTTCCTGGCAGCATACTTAAGAGAGCTCGGAAGCTGTTCTCGGCCTTCTCTCTCGGCTGCTGTTGTGGTGTTTACACCTTCCCACAGGGAAGGTGTAAAATCAGCGGCCTCTGTTCTCCTCCTCCTCCTTTCTTCTCTCCCTATATCCTATGTCCAAGTTGTATCAATCTGTATTGTTGCTGTGCTATTGTCTAGGTGTATGTGTATTTATTGGTGTAGACTAAGCCAGTGTTTTGGCATCCCCAAGTGTACTCTAGGGTGAGTAGTGCAACCACGTGTGCTAAAGTTTACCAAGGCTACTTTAAGCCTTTACAAGTAACCTTCACCCTTTACCCTAGATGGCAATTGTAAACTTTGCATCCTGCTTATGTGGACCAAAGTATTTAACTGTTCTGTTGAACAGTTGTTGAACAGGTAGAGTAGTAAAATGATTTATTGTAGTTTGTGTATGGGGGATTATTAGAGGATCTAATAAATAAGTTTAGAGTTTTTGGTAGTATCCATTCATCCTGTTGAAGTGGATGGAGTAGATGATTAACTACTAGACTGAAGACCTTTGCTTGAAAGCAAGTATTCATTGCAGGGAATATTCTTCCTTGGGGGGCCGGGCCTATCTTATCTCCACTATTTTAGGAACTCCTTTGATTGTAACTATTGACCCTCTGAGTACAAAATAAATATTATATATATATATTATATATATATATATTTATATTTATTTATAATGTTGTTGAAGATGACCAAAAATATAAGATTAATAATTCTAACACGAATTTTCTCAATATTCTTATGTTTCTTTTTACTGTCGATGGTAATTGAAAAATCAATTCTGCAAAATACATTTTTATTTCTAGTCTGACGCGACGCCTGAACGCATTTCGTAATAACTTATTACATTTTCAAAGACTTTAGTTTACACACACACACACAACGGTAACCTGAAAACACTGAACAGAGTTTTACTATGCTAACATTTAAACAGCTTGTCTTATATACTCGCATTTGGGTGAGGTGATATGTTGCAACAATTTTGGATGAGGTGAACAAACTTTCAACACAAGGCAGAACATGGAGCAATGGGTATAAATTGGATAAATCAGGGGGAAGAATGGAAGTAACTGCAAAGGGCCTATTGGCCCATATTTCCTCTTGATGCTTCAATATTGGTACGGAGTCTTGAAGTGGGTAGAATATAGTTGTGCATTAATTGGCTGTTGATTGCTGGTGTTGACTTCTTGATGTGTTGTGCCTTGCAGATGTCAAGCCGCCTGCTATCGCTGTATCTATCGATGATTTCTGTGTTGTTTGTTAAGACTTCTCTGGTGATGGTCTGGTTGTGGGAAGAGATTATATGTTCCTTAATGAAGCCCTGTTGCTTATGCATCGTTAATCGCCTGGAAAGAGATGTTGTTGTCTTGCCTATATACTGAGTTCTTTGGGGCTTACAGTCCCCAAGTGGGCACTTGAAGGCATAGACGACGTTGGTCTCTTAAGGCGTTCTGCTTTGTGTCTGGAAAGTTTTTCATGAGTAGGTTGGCCGTTTTTTTGGTTTTATAGTAAATCGTCAATTGTATCTTCTGATTTTGGTCTGTAGGGATAACGTTCCTATTAACAATATCTTTCAGGACCCTTTCCTCCATTTTATGAGCTGTGGAAAAGAAGTTCCTGTAAAATAGTCTAATAGGGGGGTACAGGTGTTGTGTTAGTTGACTCTTCAGAGGTTGCATGGCGTTTCACCTTCCTTTTTATGATGTCTTCAACGAAACCATTGGAGAAGCCGTTGTTGACTAGGACCTGCCTTACCCTACAGAGTTCTTCATCGACTTGCTTCCATCCTGAGCTGTGGCTGAGAGCACAGTCGATGTAAGCGTTAACAACATTCCTCTTGTACCTGTCTGGGCAGTCACTGTTGGCATTGAGGCACATTCCTATGTTTGTTTCCTTAGTGTAGACTGCAAAAGTTTCACAGTTTCGATCAATCTGTTAACCTTTGTTTTCAATTCGGCTGTAGTGTCCTTCATTACCCTTTGGAATTTAGTTTGGTCAAAGAGTATGAAGTTCATTTTTGCCAGAAATTCGTCTTTTTATATATATAAATATATATATAGAGTTGTATACTAGCAGCAGGTTTTCTTTTATGCATGTCTCATTGAATATGACAGCATATTCCGTATTTACTATTTTCTGATTTAGGGCTTCTTTCCCTATTATTAATAATCTTGCATCAGGGTTCAGCTGGAAGAGGAGTTCACCAAAAGTGATGTCATAACATGACTTCATAACTGAAGAATGTATCACACTAATTATAAAATCGCACGACTTTATAATTAGTGTAATACATTCTTCAGTTATTCAATTCTTTTCCTTCACCTTGAAAACAACATGACTTTTGGTGAACTCCTCTTCCAGCTGAACCCTGATGTGATTTTATATACAATAACGGATGGCCGACGTCTTTGAAATCTTCCCTTAACATCTCCCCCCCCCCTGGAGTACCAACTCGCGCCAGTGTTACCATGTCTTACCAATACAAATTCTTTGTGCACTTATTTTTTCATCATGATAAAATCTGTAATATACTTAATTATTGATATATGTTATTATGTAGGTTGTGTATTATAATCTGTATTAGTTATATATTGACTTAGTCTGAATATGAGCTTGAGATATTTGAATGTTGAGGGTCAGTTGACTCATAGAGGTTGGATACAGTGTCGCACCCCGGCGAGCTTGGCTGAAGGCGGCATTACTCTCTGATCATCTCAGGCGAGCACATGTGTGGCGTGACAGTCCGGGAATTGTGACCTTATTTGCAATATTTGACTGCTAGAATTATTATCATGTTGCTGTAATGTATTGCCATGGATCATTGCTACTGTTGTGCATCATTTATACCAGGTGGTAGATGCTGTTGTATGTATTAGTGAGGCAATTTATTCTAAAGAACTTAAGTAATACCAAGGTGCTGTATATGATATTGTTTCCTCATACCTCATTTGTTACTGGTTGTGACACCAACACCCTTTATTTGGTATTAGCAACATATAGGCGCTAGTGTCTCACTGCGCCAGGATATAGCCTGGTGTTAGCTAGTGTTTGATTTTATGCAGTTTCCAGACCTTTTTGTTGATCATGCCCAGTTGTTGAGAAGCTGGATAAAGTAATTTTGAGTGAGTTAGATGGTTATTCATTTAATGTTAAGTGGATTTATATTAATGCCAGTAAACTGGAATTTTATTTGCTAGCCTTTCACTTCCCTAGAACATTGATTGATATTTATCCAGGCTGTGTTTTCCAGTGATGCTGAAAGTTACTCTCTCTTAACATTAAAGTGGGGGTTTTGCCCATGAGCTCATAACACTTACCACATCATAACCTTGTGGGATGGACCTTCATCTGGACACTTCCTCCAACGTCCAAGCTCCTGGATTTTTGCCTCCACCTTTTTCCTCGCAAGGAAATACCCTGAACAAATTTAGAATCATTAATACTTATGTAGATGAAAAATTAAAATCATGCCTTAATACTGTACAGCAAAGAATACTTTTAAATAAAGCAAAAAGAAATGCACTAACTTAATAAAAATGCAAGTCATTACACTAACATCATTATTTCAAAGGATTTTTTTATATTTCTATGATTCACACAAAATTTGAGAAAAGATTAATGAAGAGTAGAAAGGTAGTAGGGATATTCATCTGTGAAACAAAGTTACATATATGATATATACATACAAATTTGTAATGTAAAATTAATCACTAAATAGTCCAGTAGACAGGAGGAAAAACATCATGGAAAGATGTCGTAAGTTTTATCTTCTTCCTAATAGGCTACTAAGCAACAAGTTTTGCACTCTTCAACCATTGCGGGTTGAGCACATTCATGCTTAACCCGCACGAGTTGAGCATGTAATGTAATGAAACACTAGTTTCTGGGTGAGCCCCAGAGGCTCCCTGAAGCTACCATACAGTGATCAGTGCCATACTGCCTGACAGATCACTGGAACATTATCTAACACAGTGCAGTTACAAACCCATTAAGATTTCAACTAAGATTCAACAGAGCAGAAGTTGTTAAACACACGGGACAAAGTCTTACGGAAGCAACCATACAAGTCAAATACTCATACTCCGCCCAAGTAAAACAGAAATAAGCAATACTTCGTGGGCCAGCCAGAGGCTTAGGGCCCACACAGGAATATCCCCTGCGCAAAAAAAAAAAAAAAAAAAAAAAAAAAAAAAAAAAAAAGAAGTGCCCTACTACTTAGTGCCATTAGTCGTGTGGTTCTATTTGCCTACCAGGAACTACGAGCCAGAACCTGATTTCCTCTCAGAGAGGTACCGGGAGTGATGGCCTATGATACATTTAAAGGATACCTTCTTTGCCACCACTAAGGAAAGGCACCCCAGAAAGATAGGCAAATCAATACAGACCACTGCATGGTTAAAAATGAGACTGCAGCACTAAAATTGCCAAAAGAACTCCTCAACAATGAAAACAAACAACTAAAATTTAATGAAACCACCAGCCCACTAGTTTGCCCCACCGTCGTCCTCGCTGGTGGGAGGAAGGAGCCGGCCAGGGTCAGCCAGGCCCCACACTGGTCAGTTCTAGAATGCTAAAACACACCGATGAACTGGGGAAGGTGTCAGGGAGCCTCTGGGGCTCACTTAAACTGGTGCTGCATTACATAGTTTTTTTTAATTGCATTCAACTCTGGTTTTCTGTTTGAAAGTCCCACTGGCTCCCTGAAGCTAACTATCCACAGATAAGGACAAAAAAGATCACTTACCAAGGAAGCGGCAGCACTGCACACATCAAGTACAAGGCGAGACCAACGGATGCGACACACAACCCAAAGTTACACAAGGCTGCAGAGGACCAGTGACATTAACAAGATACCTGGTAGCCAAGACCCTGTTCGACCTAGAAAACCCCCACGCCTGAATATCGGCCCAAAACACATTACTAAATACAGCCGCCACAGCTGCATACTTACGGACCAGCTAGCTTTAATGACACTGCAAACTGAGAAATACAAGTTCTGGAACAGGGCGCCTGACAATTGGGTGGACAGCGCTTCGGATTCGTAGTCCCGAGGTTCCGGGTTCAATTCCCGGTGGAGGCGGAGACAAATGGGCAAAATGTTACTTTCACCTTGATGCCCCTGTTACCTAGCAGTAAACAGGTACCTGGGAGTTAGACAGCTGCTACAAGCTGCTTCCTGGGGGGGGGGGGGTAACAAAAAGGAGGCCTGGTCGAGGACTGGGCCGCGGGGACGCTAAGCGCCGAAATCATCTCAAGATAACCTCAAGGGAACCAGGGACATCGAATCAACTCGCATCGAGTCCACCGAAACAGAAACGGTAGTCCAATGGCAGCAGCACAAAGCCACCATAAGAGAAAGCACATGATGTACATCCAGATGACAAACCAAGCAGCCACAACTAAAGGACCCTCTCCAGAAGCCTCCCAAATCATTCTTCGCCAGAAAAGAAAGAGCAGGTTGCAACCAACCAAACAAAATGACCACCAGGACCAAAAGAAAAAAACCCTGGAGCCAGAATAGACCATGAAACTCACCCACCTGACAACTGGAGGCCAAGGAAAACCAAAACAACAACTTCCACAAAGAATCTCAGACCAAAGGGGCTAATGTAAAACGTGTGGAAGAGAAAAGAAAGAACCTGGCCAGACCAATGACTAGACAGGCTCAGCTGGTGAATGAGCAGGGCGGAAGTTCGTGAGAAAGGTTGCGAAACTGGACCGAAGAAATGTCGATCCCGAACGCAAGCTGGAGCAGCTCCTCCAGCGCCACTCGATAAAAACCAGCGTTCAATGTAATGAAATGTCTTTTTCTGGGCGAGACCCAGAGGCTCCCTGGAGCTATACCGGGCTGATGTGTATATATTAGACCGTGGCAACAGTCAATCGATGGAGTTCTCAGTTTACTGGGGACCAAGAGCCAGAACCTGGGCCCCCTCAGAGAGGCACGAGGAGCAATGGCCTATAGACACCCTCATGTAGCTGGAAGCAGTCTATGTCTGCCATCTATCAGGTCAGGCACCCAGAAAGGTAGGAATCCCAAAACAAACTACAGCTGGTTAAAAATTGCAAACCGAAAGCTGAATAAGCAGGCAGAACTCCCCAACTCCTCTATCAGAAAACAAGCAAACAAGCATAACGTCACCACAGCTCCCTCCCCTCCCCGGGAGGGGAAAGGAAAGCCCCAGACCTCTCACGCCAGCTACCCAACCCCAGTTCAGAGGCTGAAAATCAAAAACACGAGAAAAACAGCTGACCAAAGGGAGGGAGGGAAACTGGGGAGCTTCCAGGTCTTTTTAAAATAAAGACCTGGAGGCTCCAGGTAAAATTTTGGTGTTACTAAGCCCCAAGCTTCCTTGACTGTGATGGAGGAGGGGCATGTAGCGACCATGGCTGCTGGGTGTACTTGAAAAGTATTGAATATGAGGAGCCGATGGTAAATGCTGTACACCGGCTGACGACATAGGAGTGAAGCCCGCCATGGAGGAGGGAATATGTGCCGTGGCAGGATGCTGATATTTCGATCTTTGATGTCAAGAAATTTATGCGTAGAATTGATGACAACCTGCTTGATAGGATTCTGGGAGTTCTACTCCCCAGAACTTGTGACTCGTGAGAGTCCTCCAGGCTGTTGCTTGGAGCGGCCCGCAGGCCCACATACAGCCCGGTTGGTCCAGCACTCCTTGAAGAAAACAATCTAGTTTTCTCTTGAAGATGTCCATGGTTGTTCCGGCAAATATTTCTGATGCTCGCTAGTAGGACGTTGAACAACCGCGGACCTCTGATGTTTATACAGTGTCCTCTGATTGTGCCTATGGCACCTCTGCTCTTCACTGGTTCTATTCTGCATTTTCTTCCATATCGTTCACGCCAGTACACTACGTTGTTATTTTACTGTGCAGATTTGGGACCTGTCCCTCCAGTATTTTCCATGTGTATATTATTTGGTATCTCACTCGTCTCCTTTCTAGTGAGTACATTTGGAGAGCTTTGAGACGATCCCAATAATTTTAGGTGCTATATCTTGTTTATGCGTGCCGTATATGTTCTCTGTATTCCCTCTATTTCAGCAATCTTTCCTGCTCTGAAGGGGAAAGTGAGTACTAAGCAGTACTCAAGACAGGACAACACAAGTGATTTGAAGAGTACAACCATTGTGATGGGATTTCTGGACTTGACGGTTCTTGTAATCCATCCTATCATTTTTCTGGCTGATGCAATACTTGCTTAGTTATGCTCCCTAAATGTTAGGTCGTTGGACATCATTATTCCCAAATCCTTGACATGCTGTTTTCCTACTATGGGCAGATTCGATTGTGTTTTGTATCCTGTGTTATGTTTCAGATCCTCATTTTTGCCATATCCGAGTACCTGGAATTTATCACCGTTAAACATCATGTTATTTTCTGCTGCCCAATTGAAAACTGTTAATGTCTGTCTGTCTAGTTTTTCAATGTCTTCAGCAGAGGTAATGTTCATGCTGATTTTTGTATCATCTGCAAAGGATGACACGAACCTGTGTGATACCAGCACTGCCCTCCTTACTTTTCTCGACTCCCTTTCCCCTGATCAGGGTTTGGATTAATGGCCTCCTCCATAAATAGGAGGTGTACGATCCCCGTCCCACTCAGTGCTTTCGTTGTAAGGGTTTTCACCATACCTCCCATGGCTGCACCAATGACGTCCTTTGTGGCAAATGCTCTGGCTCCCATTTCACTCGTGACTGAGCCCGACAAGCTTTGTTGCCCCAACTGTGGTGATCATGTCATCACTTTCAAGCAGTATCCTTTCTACGTTGTGGCACTCACCAAGGCTCTTCCCTTCATCACTCCGCCCTCCAGGAGTGCTTTGCCTCATCCTGCCGCGGTTCCTTGTTACCCGCTGTTTCCCCCTCTGCCACTGCCTGTGCCCGACTCATTTGTCACTGACATTCCTCTCGCCCCTGTGGCTTCTTCTCTCCCACCCGCCATTCAACCAAGTCCTCATCTTGTTGATGCTATTGTCGCTCGCATTGTGGATGCACTCAAGACAGTGCTGGTCCGCTTTGTCACTAAATTCTTTCCACAGTCCATCCTTCCCGTTCCTGAGGCTGACCCATCGCTCCTCTCCTCTGCTTCTTCTATGGTTGACGTCCATCCTCCCACAGCTGCCTCTGCTGTCTCTAATGCGTTTGAATAGATGCTGGACAATGCCCTTCGGAACTCTTTGACGAGCCTTCCCTGTGTGTCTTCTTAGGCTGCCCTGCTGCACATCTCTGCCTCTGGTACTAAGCTGAAGCAATCCTCCATCATCCCGATTTCCAAGCGCCCTGCCACCTTGCTTGATAGGCCTCTTACATAGCGTTCTCCCACGACTTGTCCTCGCGCCCTTCCTAGGTCTTCCTCCCGTTGTCCTGCTGGCGCTTCTGCAGAGTCCGATGCATTAGTGTCCCAGTCATGAGACTCCAGATGCCATCAACGTACCATGCCCTGTCCTAACTTCGCCTGTCCCGTCTTGACTTCCTCTTCCCTTCTACACATTCACACTTGCCTCCTTCACATTCTTTGCCCCCGCCCTTCGTCTCTTGCCTCCGTCCCTCGCTTTCTTTACTGTGGCAATGCTTTGCGTTCGCCTTCTGTTTTCTTTATTCCCATTCAACGTTCGTTTCCTCTTGTATATATTTACTTTATCCTCGCTCGCCTTGACGGCGTCGTTATCTTCTTGACTCGGGCACGTCGTGACCGTTGATGTGTTGTTGTGCATTGTCATATACAGTGGCACCTCGACTTCCGATGTAAATTGGATTGAAAATTCCGACTCGACTTACAATAGTGTTGTCAACTAATGACATTTGTTGGTACACGTTTGGGTCGACTGAGCAAATGGTTCCTGGTCACGCAGGCTGACCTGCCTCAGTTTACTAGAGCTGCCCGCTTAGTGATTATTATGCCTATAAGAAATTCCGTTTTTGTGGATTTTTTTTTTTTGCTTTTTGTACATAAAACTTATTATATATCATGCTATGGGGTACCAAGAAAGTCAGTGGCAAGATTCAACATATGAAAACCCTTGTAACAATGACCATAGAGCAAAAACAAGAGATCATTCGTAAATATGAAGATGGTGTGCGGGTTGTTGAACTAGCTAGGCAGTACAGTACAACAAATCTCGGTCAATGATATCCACCATACTTGCTAAGAAAAAGGACATTATGAGTGGATAAGTAGGAAAAGGCATATCAATAATCATGAAACAGAACATAAACACTTGAGAATGCTGAACAGTTATTATTAATTTGGATACACAGCAAGGGGGTTAGTGGGTGATAGTTTCAGAGGCCATCATTTGTGAAAAAGCAAGGAAATTCTATGAAGACCTTTTAACCCTTGTGTTGCTCAGGGCTAATTAGCATTTGTCACCCACAGGTGCATACAAAAAAAAAAAAAAAAAAATCTTCTAAACCTGTTAATTTGTGTTCTCTGATCATGGGAAAAATAATAAAAAAATCCTAAGTGGCATATATTGCCCTCTATAGGGTAGGGAAGTCTGGCAAAAAACAGGGGCCAACTCAGAGTGCATCCCAGACGGTCTGTTGCTCGCCAGCTGTCAGGCAGGAGTGGCCACAGAGATAATCACCTAATTATTTAAATGTCTCGTGATTGACTTTTCGTAGTTTTTTGCTGTAATATTATTCAATAGTGTGTAGTGTGATATATTTATATAACAAAATGAGTGAATCATTGTGCAGGCGATGAGTCACAATAACATGGCTAAAGTATGTTGACCAAACCACACACTAGAAGGTGAAGGGACGACGACGTTTCGGCCCGTCCTGGACCATTCTGAGAATGGGCAAGGACGGTCCGAAATGAGTGAATCATTGCTGTACCCAAAAATATGGTGTGCATATTGTTGATTCAATTATGTTCATCAAACAGTGAACAAATACTTTGTCGGATATTACACTATATACACAGGTTATATACAAGTACAGGTACTGTACTTTAAAACTTCTCCAGCAATGTTGTGCAGTGGAAGGGTCAAATGAAATTTCTTATTGCATTCTATGTGACCATCACATTCAGATGTGAATACGGAATGCTTTTAGCACTGCCCTGTCACCATTACCTTATTTAGTTTGCTGTTCTTAAACTATACACTAAGATGTAGTGTGTAGCCTGGGAAGGATAGAAAAGTATGGTGGAAAGTGTCAAAGATTTCCTGATATACACAATACATCCTACACTGGCCGCCATAACAGTTAAATGGTATCATCGCACTATTAAAGTATTCAAAGCAGTATCTTGGCAGTTCTGTAGCAGTAAAGCACTTTATAGAAATGTCCATACCCAAAACAAAATGAAATTTCCCCATTCTCTCCCAACAACTGGTCGGACTTAATTTGTACAGTAAGAACGCTATGGTTCACCCTGGACCCTTACGCATTAAATGCAGGAAATAGATTTAGTAAATTCACAATGAAAAATACTGTACATTGAAATACTTACCACTGTGTGTCTTTGGGTTACTCATATTCTCTACATTGCCCTCTACTTCTTTGTTCCTCCAGAAATCTGGAAACTCCCGGGAGAGGAAGACTTTACCATTGCGATTTCCATGAAGCAACCGAATTAGTGATGGAACAGCTGCAAACAAGAAACTAAGTATTAACCAAAACAATAAGTAAATATATCAATTTGCATTATGATGAAAAAACCAGCGTTTTATGTAATGGAACGCCATTTTCTAGGTGAGCACCGGAGGCTCCCTGGAGTTATCAGGCTGATGTGTGTTATATTAGTCTGGGGCATCAGTCAATTTGAGTTCAGCTTACTGGGGACCACAAGCCAGAACCTGGCTCCCCTCAGAGAGGCAAAGGGAGCAATGGTCTAAGGAAACCTCTTAATTGGAGGCATTCCTTGTCTGCCATTGACCGGGGTTGGCACCCAGAAAGGTAGGTATAACAAAACAGACCCTACATGGTAAGACAATTGAACCGAAGACTGAACAGAGGCAAGCTTTCCCTACTTAACCACTGTGCTGCGCCGAGTTTATTATGAAATTCCCCAGGTGCACATGAAATCAAGTGTTCCCAACCCAAAAAATTATTTTTTCTTTTTAAAATAACGAATTCCCTTCCCTGAAAATGTGTATATAAAAATAAATGACAAATTCCACTTACTGTGACTGTGAGGATGTGGACAAGATGTGCTGTGATGTCATCAAGGGCTGGTCGCCCGTGCATGACACGTCCAAACACGTCGCGCGGGCCATTCAAGACCCATCAGTTGCCACAATTATATTTACAATTATTATTTCTATGTATTTTCAATGCTTTCTAATTTTTTTTTGTATTGTATCAGATGTATGTGTGTGTGTGTCCTGACAATGCATATAAAGTACAACGTCCATAATGTTCCATGGAACTGAGATACTGTACATGTGTCACTAAAGTGTCCTCAATAAATGTTTATTGTTGCAATATTACTTGTTCTACATTCACAAATAATACATTATACACAGTTTCACACACTATTTAAAAAGCAACACACTGTATTGCACTCTTTGTACTTAGCAAGGGGGTAATATTCAATGAAGCAGTCCATGAGACACAGCAGGACTTTGCACTCGACGCATATGGTACACACAGATTTTCTCTTCCTTGGTTTTTGTTCTGAGTGCTTGCAAACAATGCTCTCACATCTGCCTTTGGCCTTAGTTCCTGTAGGTGGTAGGTAGGCAGGCTTGTGAATTGCAAAAGCCTCTTTACCAGCCAGTCTGTTGGAAACTAAAGGCGCTCTGGTTGGGGCATGATAAACTGCCCTTGCGCTATCTTCCTGGCCATATTTGACGAGTAATTGTGACAGCAGAACACTCGAATTGATGTTTTTTTGCCCGTTTTTCATCAAAAACATGTTGAAACAGTTGAGCACTGTTACGTCCACAAGACGAAAGAAGAATTTCCTTGTCCACTTTACAGTTCTGTGGACACACTCGACGGCACCAACCATCATGTCACATTTATCTACAAGTCTCATATTTATATTGTAGTCAATGATCCATCACCTCGATACCTCACTTTGCCACTGTCAAGCATTTCACCAGTGTGAATAGTTGTCAACATACTGACTTCACGTTTGTCTTTCCAATGCACTGCTAATATTTTGTCACATTTTTAAGTTCACAATCACCTACACCAATATTATTTAAAAAAAAAACTGGCATTTCTTTCCTATATGTCTTTACAGTGTCACACACTCCCGTGTTATGTTCAAGCAAGAACTTTGTTAGCAAGGGGCTGGTATAATAATTGTCAGTGTACAGAATGTGCCCCTTGTTCATCAGTGGTTCCATTAGTGTCTTCACTACACTGTCAGAAAACCCAAGAGGATCCTCTGAGGGTATGTCTACATCTGTACCAGAATATAATATCATATCGATCACCATTCCGGTTTCACAGTCGTACAATACAAAAAATTTGAGGCCAAAACAGTGCCGTTTCGATGGGATGTACTGTTTGAAGAGAAGACGTCCCTCGAAAAGAACTAGGGATTCATCAACGACAACATTCTGTAAAGGTACAAATCACGAAATATCCCTCTGAGATCATTGAACACTTTTCGCACTCTCCAAAGACGATCATTTCTATCAAAATTTTCAAGGTTTTCAAAGTGCAGGCACTGTAGTAGTATCAGGAAACTTTCTCGTGACATGTATTTGTTGAACACAGGTGATGGAACAGCAGCTTCTTACTTTCTCGTGACATGTATTTGTTGAACACAGGTGATGGAACAGCAGCTTCTTTGTTCCAATAATCCTGTATGACTTGCTTCTCCGAATGTTTTTGGAGCATACATAGAGCAAAGAACACATACAGCTCAGCCACAGTGGTGTCCTTCCAACGTATCATATGCGAAGCCTGTAATATTCCACCTTCAATAAGTTGCCCTGCATATCTGTTGGTTTCAGCAACAAGATGTTGCATGAATTGCTCATCAAAATATACAAGAAAATATTCCATTTCCATCACGTCTTCACCTGTGTACGGGAACATGGGTGCAACCCCCCACATCACTATCATCAAATTGAGGCGTGTGTGTGTGTGCATACAAAAATATCTCAGTCCTCCCACACAAATTCACCCGTTCTCCTTGCAGCACCGTCACGAGCGACTCCACTATGGGTGCGTTTTCTTGCACTAAATCTCCTATGGGGGGGGGGGGAGTTGGAGGTCTTCTACCTTGTTTACTAGTAGGGCGAGCAGGGAAAGATGTAGAGTAACACTGTCGTCAGTGTCGTTGTGAGGGAATACATGACGCCTGGCAAGGCGACCTGCCGAGACAGCAGATCTGCACCTGGTAACACCGCAACGACGGCAGCTGCTAGCCTTTGCCTCATCTATGCTACTTGTATCAGAAGCAGCGTCACTAAACTCAGAAAATGACTCGATAGTATCACTTTCGTCAAAAATGGGAGATGGAGGAGGCGGTGGTGAGGAAAATACTGTCTCCACTCGATCATCTGGACTATATGGGAAGGACCCCCAGCCGGATTATCACATTTTTCGGATAATGGTACTTTTTCACATACGAGTCCAAAAGTGACCATTTCCAACTATTTTTATACTACAAACAACATAATTTGAATTGCCTTGCCACATATAATTATTAAATATTCAACTAGAAACCTCAACTTACCTTGTTGGTGTTCGTCTTCTTGATTGATGCCACACATCTTGAAGTTAAAAATTCTTGACAATTTACGTAACCTATACTAACACAACACTAAAATTAACACTTAAAATTACTGTACAGTTCATTAAGCAAAGTTAGTTTTGACTGCCAGCTGCTGAAGCCTCACTGGTTGAAGGCGCTTGCTTGCACCTCACTTGATGAAGGCGCTTGGCTTGCCTGTGAGGCCTCACTTGTTGAAGGCGCTTGGCTTGCCTGTGAGGCCTCACTTGTTGAAGGCGCTTGGCTTGCCTGTGAAGCCTCACTTGTTAAAGGCGCTTGCTTGCACCTCACTTGATGAAGGCGCTTGGCTTGCCTGTGACGCCTCACTTGTTGAAGACGCTTGGCTTGCCTGTGAGGCCTCACTTGTTGAAGGCGCTTGGCTTGCCTGTGAAGCCTCACTTGTTGAAGGCGCTTGGCTTGCTTGTGAAGCCTCACTTGTTGAAGGCGCTTGGCTTGCCTGTGAAGCCTCACTTGAAGGCGCTTGGCTGCCTGTGGCGCCTCACTTGTTGAAGGCATTTGGCTGCCTGTGGCGCCTCACTTGTTGAAGGCATTTGGCTGCCTGTGACGCCTCACTGGTTGAACAACACGTAACTTGTCTTCAATTGCTAGGACAATCTTCTTCCTCTTAACACCTCCAGAACGATTGATGCTGCTACCAGACAGTCTTGGCTAAAAATGTTTAAACTATGAAAATAAAAAAGTTATTAAAAAAAATATTTCACTAATGGCGCAGCACTGCGTATAACACGAGGGACGGACGCACATGGGTTGACCAGTGTTGGACGAGTCCACTTGGGGCAGCTATAGCATGTTACGTAGGCCGTCAGGAGGAAAAAAAAAACTAACAATAATTTTGAAGGAAACTTCAGCCTGTGCACACTGCTTTTAGGAAACTTATTTATTTGTTATTACATAATTACTAGTACTTATTTCATTTGTTTTTGGCTATGATTAATTGTTCTAAAATTAATGGTAATTCCTATACCCAGGTGGTCCCTCCCAACGCTCCCACCCTCCCGACACCACCCACCCACCCCCTCCTCCACCATGCGTCTAGAGCCAAAGGCAGATGGGATTAATACGGTATGGTCGAATTTTCATCTGGCCGAACCAGCTTTTATCCGGTTCCTGTGGCCATTTTGGCCGGATATTGTGATAACTTTGTCCGATCACGATTTTGGCCGTACAAGGGCGTTTTCCAGATGTTCGAATCCCGGATAAACGCGGGGTTATAGTACTGGCAAGGGCAATGACCTGTGACGCTTCACTGCAGCTCACCCTGAACGATACGCACTCACAGTAACGCCTTAATCTGTATGTGTTTCACTTCCACTGGACCCCTTGTGTTATGTCTCTATTGACCCTTGGGTCATCAATATAATATTCCATTTCTTTTTCAAACAATAAACTGTTTCTCTCTCCTGGAGAAAGCAGTTTTGCAACAGCGCATCCCACAGGCGACTGAGAGCTGGAGGCACGTACATCGGCTATGGTTGCTCGATCAAAACTGAGGCTACCCTCGGGCCTGGGGCATTCTGGGATTTTTTTCCAAAATGCCTGCCGCTCACTGACGGCCTCAGGCATCCAACTCGTACACAACCAACCTCGCGCGCGCGTTTCGAATGAGTACCAAAAAAATCAAAGTGTTTTCTAGGCCCAAGCCCTAAACAAGACCCAGCCAGGTCCCAACCCGGGACGGAAACAGATGAAATGGCCTCCAAATCACCAGGAAACCAAACCCATCGATCTGGAAAAAACCACACCCCTGGTAAGCAGACAAGCGGACCGACTGGGAGCCCACACCAACCAGCTGTCGAGGTAGGCCAGACAATGAATCGCAAGCAGACTCAGACAGGGGACCAAGATCCGTAAAGATGTGTAAATACACCAAGTACCAATTACAAACTAGGGAA